TGTCTTCCTTCCTTCTATCAGTCGTCTATCCTTTCAATTTATTCTATCTCCATTCATCTACCTCTCTTATCTGTCTTACTATATTATCCTCATTGGTTGCTTCAGAACACAAGATCGCCCTACTTATATAAATTTGCAGTGAGTTTGACATAGATAGTCTTTTGGACCTCAGTCTACCAGATGCTAAAGTAGCTCCAGAGTTAAAAATAACTGGACTTTCTGCGTGGAAAAGGAAACGCAGCGAGGACATTTTAGCCCTGATGCTTGGGACGCCTGAGGAACCTGCTCCTGCCGCAGACGCTGGATCCTTTACGTAACACATGAGCCAGGCTGGTGTTTCACACACTTTAATAATGGAATAATCATCGATTTCCCTCTGTCCTTTCCCCACATGGCCACTAAACAGTTAAATAATCACCAGGCACTTTCCCTGATTATGAATGCAGCATCTGTCCAGTCGCTTATTTGAAGTCGTTCTGTATGTTGGTGTCTGCTGCTCATTTGTGATTAACTCCATCAATACATAGTCCTGGTCTGTAAAACAGAGGGGTCATACTCGGTTCTGTAGGACACTGACCCGTGAAGGTGTCACAGCCCGGCTTTGAAGATAAGCCACTCGTATGTGTTACAAAAACAAACTGTAAGCAGCCATCTGAGGCCTCATGAGACTTGTGCAGGAATCTGTGTGGCCAGAGCTCAAGGCTGGGATGTCACTGAGACAGGGCAGGGGCTGGGGGCATGGAAACAGGCAGTGGGGTGAGAGGTTGTCCCTGAGGAGGGCGTCCGGATCAGGCGGAGAGCTGGACAGGACATCCGGTGGCAAGAATGCTGACCAGTGGTCACAGAGTGGAGGCTCGAGTGGAGACTCTAGGTGTGGCTTTCATGGGAAAAGTTCTGGACTTGGACAGAGGTGGTTTTCTTCATAGATCTGGGGGCCTGGGCAAGAAACATAACCATTATTTGCACCTCGATTTCTTACCTGTAACATCAGTTGTTATAAGGATTAAAAGAGATTATTTAGGACGCATAGGACAGGGCCGTGTAGTTAATACTTCTGGCTATGCAGGCTGCACGCTGTGTGTTGTGGTGCTTGCCAGGGAGTATGGCTGTGTGCTGGTAAAACTTTATTTCCAGAAACAGCCCACAGGCTGGATTTGTAGTTTTCCAACCTGTGATTTAGATAAAATTCGTGGGGTGTGGAAGTTATTCAATAAATAGTGTCTCCCTTTCCCTCTTCTAGGTTTCGAAAGATGATAGCAGCCTGGGATTTCTGAGTCATATCTGGAGGTTCTCCGAGCTGACTGCTTAGTGGCATGATTTAGTAGTGGAGCTGAAATAGAACACCTGCGTGGAGGTACTGACTCCGCCTCCCACCCAGCCTTTCTGAGTCTGTGGGGTCAGGAACCTGAGTGGACGCCCCTGTGAGGCCGACATTAACATCTCCCCTTTAAAGAGGAGCTGTGGCTTCACGCGGAAAGCGCCTGTGTTCCTTTAGGCCAGGATCTTAACAGCTGGAGCTTTCCAAAGTAAGACCACATTTAAAATGAGAGTGAATAGTGAGTGTCCTTTGAGGTTGGCTTCAAGGGAGGGACCCCCCCCCAATACTTAAATGTTCATCTGAGAAATTTTTAAAACTTGAGCTGAACTTTGTCTTTTAATATTTCGACTAGCTTAAATGGTTGATCCTCAGCCTTTACTGTATGTCTGCCTTTACTAGTGGGGTTTTTCTTTTCCTATAGATTCTTCTTGTTGTAGCCTTTTCTTTTCCACTTAGAGAAGATCCTGTAACATTCCTTTTAGGGTAGCTTCAGTATTGATGAAGTCTTCTAGTTTTTGCTTGTCTGAGAAGTTCTTTATCTCTTCTTCAATTCTGAATGGTAACCTTGCTGGGTAGAGTATCCTAGGTTGCAGGTTTTTACCTTTCAGCACTTTAAATGTATCATGCCACTCCCTTCTAGCCTGCAATATTTCTGCTGAAAAATCAGCTGATAGCCTTATGGGAGTTCCCTTGAATGAGACTCTTTGTTTCTCTCTTGCTGCCATTAGAATCCTCTATCTGTAACTTTTGCCATTTTAATTATGATATGCCTTGATGTGGGTCTCTTTGAGTTCATCTTGTTTGGGATGGGACTCTCAGTGCTTCCTGTACCTGGATATCTGTTTCCTTCTTTAGGTTTGTAAAGTTTTCAGCCATAACTTCATCAAATACATTTTTACCCTCTTCTCTATCTCTCCTTCTGGAACCTCATAATGTGGTTGTTAGTGTGCTTGATGTTGTCCCAGAGATTGTTTAAACTGTTCTCATTTTTAAATTTGCTTTTCTTTTTACTGTTCTTCTTGTGTGATTTCCATTATTCTATCTTCCAGATGACTTATGTGTTCTTCACTATCACCTAATCTGCTTTTCTTTCCTTCTAGTGTGTTTTTCATTTCACTTATTGTATTCTTCAATTCTGACTGGTTCTTTTTTAAAAAAATATTTTCTAGTTTCTTACTAAAATTCTCACCATGTTCATCTATTCCTTTCCCAAGTTTAGTTAGCATCCTTATTACTAATGCTTTGAATTCTTTATCTGGTAACTTGTTTATTTTTGCTTCATTATCTGTTGTGAGCACAAGTCATGTCTTACCCCCAGGGTGTGCTGGCAGCTCTCAACTTTTAGGAGGAGGGGCTGAAGATGGAGGGGTGAGGGCTGCAGCCAGGTGTGAGCTGGGCTTCCCCTCTGCTCGATGGCATCAACATCCTGTTGGGGCCGGGCCAGGTCCCAAGTTGCTGGAGCAGAAGCCCTGAGGGTCAGTTCCAAACCGGCTCCATTCCCTTTAAGTGTATGTTTTCCACGCTCCCCGCACCAGTCGCGTCGCCCCAGCAGTGCTGAAGCAAGAGGTGCCTGTGTGGGCTCTCAGCGGGGTTGGGGGGTTTGGCCACTGGCAGAGGTCAGGGCTGCTTCTGACTCGCCACCTGTGTAAGCGCTGCTAGTGGTTGCCGCCACCCCACTCAGTCGCTGCTTTGGGTCTGAGCTGCTCTGAGTCTTACAGCTGGGCCCTCTCCCCATCATGAAGCAAGCGGGACTGGAGCGGTCGCTCGGCTGAGGCTATGGGAAACCAGCAGCTGCTGGAGCAGCCCTCGCTCCACCCTGCATGGGAGCAAGCCGGCGTGCACACTCCTCACCGTGGAGCCCAGGCTTCCCACAGCCCTCCCGTTAGTCCATGGGCCCTCCAACCAGCCAAGGGCACTCATCTTCACTGTGTCAGACCCCAGGACCAGGGAGCCTGATCTGTGGCCAAACCGCTCACTCCCCAGGGCAGATCTCTGCTCCTGTGATCTCCCTCTTCCTCTGAGTCCCCTCCGTGGGGCACAGCTCCTGACCAGATCACTTCTCTTCCTACCCTATTCCATGTGGCTCTTTCTTATAGCCCCAGTTGTACAGGAGTCTTTCTGCCAGTCTCCAGTTAGTTTTCAGTGAGAATTGTTCCACATGTAGATGTAGTTTAGATTTGTTCATGGGGGGAGGTGAGCTCCACATCTTCCTGCTCTGCCATCTTGATCTCCTCCTCAAAACTTAAGCTGAACTTTGGGTGAAGAACAAGCTGGACGGGGCTCGTTCATCAGGCTAAGATTTGATGGCAGGACTGTGCAGAGCAGCTGTGGGGTTGGCTGGGAAAGGGAGAGCACTGGAGGGAAACACCCGGTAAACAGTAGGTGTCTACCCTGTGCTCAGGTGGCCTCCCAACAGGCCAGTATGTGCTTTTCCCACCAACACACCCCCCACACACGTGCTCCTTTCCCTGTCTCGTGCTTCTGTTTTCCTCTAGGCAACCCCTCAGGGAGCAAACTAGTTTTGAGTTTATAAAATGCTGAGCAGCAGCACAATTAGCACAAAAAATAGCTTTCTCGTAGTTTTATTGTCTTCAAAGAGCGGTCAGTGTGTTTTAGCACCAAAAATGCTCAATAGTCAATAGCGGGCTGTGTTTTCATTTATTTATGTTGTTTACAGCTCCATGTGCATAAACTAGTCATGTGTTTCGTGGGCTGGACAAGACTGCAGTGAGCTGTGAGCTGGTTGGGTCAGGGTGCCCTCTGGTTTGATCAAATGTAGCGAGCACCACCACCAGGAAAAGCGGACTTAGCAACTTGTGTGTGACTCATTATAACTTTTCATTTGTTTGCTGTATTTTTATTGAAACTTTAGTGTTTAGCTCTTTTAGGAATGATGGCTTGGTCAGAATATTAGGAAAAAAATTAACAGTTTCAGAAAAATTCAAGGGCACAAATCAGCATTTTGGGTACATTCGAGCTTGTAATTGGGAAAGGCTGTTGCACGTCATAAAGGTTATTTGTCCCAGGTACTTGGCACTTGGGGAAAATGCCAGCCTAGCAATGGCTCTTGAATCTCTGGCATCAGCAATTTAATTCCTGTTTTATTGATAAGCTTCTTTCTCATGTATTTTGGATTCCATAGGTCCTATGTTCTCTTGCTTTGTTTTATCTACTGTTTCATTTCATCTTAGACACTTATTTTCAAAAATACGCTAGCAGTAAGTATAGTCCTTGGGACCGACACGCCTGATAAGAAAAAAAGTCTCATTAATGGAGGAAGATGCTAATCAGTGGTGGTTTTGGCCAGCTCTCACTGGGGTAGACACCTGCAGAATCCATTGTTGATTGAGTTAATGAGAGCCGTGTAGATCGGGGAAGTTTCCTGCCCCACAGATGTGAATAAGATTGCAAGAATCTAATTCTGGACCCCATCAGACCCAAAACCTTGTGAGAAGGGGCCAGGGACAAGCATGTGTGTGCGTAGTGAAGGATTTTATATAACTTAAATGAGTATTTATTTGTGAGCAGAGGAAATGTCAAGGTGAATGATATGAAGTGCTTTCTTCTTAAATTATAATTATAAGGAAATAGAAGACACACACAGATGTGACTGTGTCTTCACAGTTGAGTGTTCAGCTCTACCTGTGAAAGCATTCTGAACTTCCCTTTCCTTCTCTTACAGGTGACATCACACAAAAAGGATATGAAAAGAAGAGATCGAAATTGATTGGAGCCTACCTGCCCCAGCCTCCGAGTACGTAAACCTTGATGAGTAGCATAAAGCATCCCATTTTAAGAGTTAACTGTAACACGCGAGAGAACAGCTGAGCACAAGTCCTCCCTCAGTCCCCAGTCTGCATGCAGATCACGCCATTGAGGTGGCACTAGGCACATCCTACTCCTTTGTGTGATTGCAGGATATTTTGTGAATTTAGAAGATACATACGACTTTTCTATAAATGTGCCTAATAAATTTAATAGGTATTTTATTCATAGAGCTGCAGTAATATGTTTGATTACTTTAAAATGGCTACAGTCATAAAAAATATGAGAGCATTTATGGTTTAAACATGACTTTTGTCTTAGTAAGTTAAATTTATTGATAATGGTTTAAATTAATCCAAGGTTTTCGTTGACGTCATTGGTGCGGGGTGGAGGGCCAATCTAGAAGTCTAGAAAAACGGTGTAACATCCTGCCTGGTATTATAAAATTGTAAAGGTTGGTTGTTTCTTGAAACGTGATTGTCAACGTAATGGATTCTTCCCCAAGTACAAATCCTGTTTAATTCCAGCGTTTGCACGTGTGCAAGTGTGTAGAATTTCTGTCCTCAAGCTGGGTTCTGTACATTTCAGGGAAAGGAAGATGATACTGGGCTGCAGTTGTAACACTCCGTTCTGATGTAAGCTCAGTTCAGCCCAAGGGCAACCTTGAGAATTTTCTGGGCATTAGGAATGGCTTAAAGCTAACACAAGTCCTCCAGGAGGAAGGACAGCAACAGAAATAGACTCTCCAGTGTTCAGTGTTGGAACAAATGTGAAGCTCTGCTGAGCCGCTTCTGCTAGAAGAGGTTCAAGTCTGCATGTGCAGGCCCAGCGCAGGCCCACCGGCTCTCCGGGCTGTGACACAGCCTCCAGTGCTGTGGGCGCAGAAGGAGTGTCCCCACCTGTGGCTCACATTCCAGGACACTTAACTTGTGTGTTGAGTTTCTGCTACTTTTTTAGCTTTGTTTGGTTGTGTGTGATTTCTTTCTTTTCTCGGTACTTAAGAGAGTTAACATAAAGATGGACCGGCTGCGTGGGCCTGCCTTAGCTGACGGCCTGGGTTTTCCTGCTGTCTAGTCTGTAAAAGGAAGAAGCTCTGCGCTGTCTGAGTGGATGGAACATAAGTGTGTTGTCTAGCTGACCCCATGTGTGAGAGACTTCAGAGCACACGTGGGCAGACGACTAGATGTGGTCTCCCCGCTTTCCTCCTCTCGTGCTCCAGCAGAGCTGTTGTGATGAATTCCTGTCTGCACTTGGCCCCTCCTGGTCTTGGAGGAAGGCTGGCGGGGAGACTGTAGGCCCTTTGGGTTGCTAGATTTTATTGTCCGTGCCTTACCAAACAAAAGTGAAACAGAAGCAGTTCTGCACCTTCCCAGAAGATGGCTCTGGAGCTGTGACAGTGCCAGGAACGTGGCTGACCCGTGTTGCTGAGCGCTGAGGGTGGCCCTGTGTGGCGTGGTCCCTTTGATGTTCTTTATGCTGTTCTGCATGGGGTCGGCCGCTCTGCTCGGTGCTGTAACAAATTTAAAAAAAACTAAAGTTTGAATTAATTAGTTTTTTTTCAACTTGTTACAGCAGCGAATGGAGCTGCCGTGGTCCGGTGTAGACTGCAGCACAGTGAAGGAGCCCCGAGAAGAATGCTGCAGGCTGGCAACATCGGGGTGTGTGACATCCGAGACGCCGCGGTCAGAGAGCGGGCGGCCAGCACCGCAGGAAACCGGCCACTGTTTTACTTTCGTTTCGGTGAGCGCACTTAACTGAGAGAGAGAGAGAGAGACACACACACACACACACACCCCCCACGGCAGGGCACGTTTGCAATGGACTGTCCACCTGATGCCTTTCTAAACAGAAGTGAGGGCTCAGCCTTGGGGGAACATAGGAGGTCCTGTTTCTGAGCCCCTGTTCTCCATTTGAACTTGTGCGACTTATCGAGGCCACAGTGCTCCTTGGGCAAAGAGCTTGTCACAGACCCCGGACCATGATCATCCTGCTGACTCAGGGCCCAGTTTTTGAGTGTTTTCTATTAAAATATAATACTCGGTTTTTACAACCATAGTTTTGCATTTGGAGCACCATTTACAAAACACTTAAGAAAGAAGAATGCATGACAGATCACACAGTTCTTCCTAAAATTGTTGATATTCCGCTAAACTTTGTCTCATAGCCAGAGACCTGGGTGAAGGATGAACTCTAATGAATCCTGACCTCTGAGATCTGCTTCAGGGAGTAAGGTCTGTAGCTCCGTGGTATTCCTATCTCCAGAGGGCAGTTATGGAGTTTTGAAATTGAAAAATTGAACCAGTTAATCATAGAGTGTATTCTTAGAGGTCGTGATCCTATTCAGAGGTCAAAATTATTTTAGTGAGCAATATTTTGAATATAAGAAGCCCAAAAAGATGAGTTCAGTGCGCCTTTTAGTACAATAAGGAATAAGCATTTATAAGCTTCAGGGTTTTACCTCAAATAAAAGGCATTGTTTGAGAATCAGGTACAGACACTAAGCTGTTATGTCACAGTTGACCCCCAGGATCTTAGAGGAGGGAACCCAGCCGGGTCTCTCCGCTGTGGCTCTGCCCTCCTCTCCATGCCAGCCTGCTGACGGGCGTGATGCCTGTCTGTGTGGGGAAGAGCGGAGCGGTGGTAGGCGGGCGGTGGAGTTGGGCATTAGCTGCAGGGGCCCCGTCGCAATTTCTGTATGCTTCACTGCTGCACCTGCGGATGTGTGAGGCTGTGAGAGCTGCTTGGGAACACTGCTCCCTGGCCCTTGTGGCCACGCCATTCCCACTGGGAAGGAGAAGGCAGGTTCACCCATGATGCTGGGATTGGGCGACCAGATGCCCAGGTAGTTTTGCAGTTCTTATTGCTGATCTGTATTTCTGAGAAGTTGCCCTGGATGAATGGTCACACGTATAAGACTGTCTCTGGGAAGCAGTAAGGAGAGCACGTGGATCTAAATCAGAGAATTCTTTCTTGACTAGGTCAGTCTTAGACATGATTCTTTTGGTGTAGGATCTTTTTTTTTTTTTTGGCGGTACGCAGGCCTCTCACTGTTGTGGCCTCTCCTGTTGCGGAGCACAGGCTCCGGATGCGCAGGCTCAGCGGCCATGGCTCACGGGCCTAGCCGCTCCGCGGCATGTGGGATCTTCCCGGACCGGGGCACGAACCCATGTCCCTTGCATCGGCAGGCAGACTCTCAACCACTGCGCCACCAGGGAAGCCCTGGTGTAGGATCTTTATGAGAAATACCTTGTTTTCCTTTTTAGTTACCCTTATCCTGCCATACACTTTTCTAAAAGTAGTTTGTGTTTTGATGAACTTTACTTCTTTTTTTTTAACATTATTTTTATTTATCAGAGAAAAAGTTAAGACTTCTCTAGAGGGACTTCCATGGTGGCGCAGTGGTTAAGAATCCACCTGCCAATGCAGGGGACATGGGTTCGAGCTCTGGCCCAGGAAGATCCCACATGCCACAGAGCAACTAAGCCCGTGCAGCACAACTACTGAGCCTGTGCTCTAGAGCCCACGCTCCACAACAAGAGAAGCCACGGCAATGAGAAGCCTGCGCACCGCAACGAAGAGTAACCCCCATTCAACACAGCTAGAGAAAGCCTGCGCACAGCAACGAAGACCCAGTGCAGCCATAAATAAATAAATAAATTTATATATTAAAAAAAATTGTTTAAAGACTTCTCTAGAAAGTATTCTAAAGATATTTCAAATATACTTTGGAGATTTGTTTGGGACACACGATTATGAATTAGGATGGCTTCCACAGCCTTCAGCAACAGCTGAGCACCCTAGTCTGAGCTCCCAAGCATTACCCCATCCGAGGCAAAGTGCTGGGGAAGCAGGCTTTTTCCTGATTTTCTTCTCTGCACAGAAGTGAGTGACTGGGGAACCCAGTCAAAGATACGCTGTTTTCAGGGAGCACAGTGTTGAATGCTCACCTAAAGCTGGATGAGGGAAAGTGTGCCAGAGCTAGAAAGAAAAAAGAAAATTATGTATTTAATGAAGTAAGGGGTCAGAATATATTGAAAATCATTATCAAAGAGAAAATATTATTCAGGAGAACTTACTTGGTTCTAGTTGTCTTGCAGTTTTTCATTAGTCTTTGAAACTATATATGTTTCATTAGTCTCTGAACCTGATAAAATTTATGAAAATAGAAGATAAAGTCCACTCTCTACCACTCTCTCCAGGGGTATCTTAATCACGTGGTGTTAGCTTCTATATGAGTCTTCACTGCTTTCATGACAAGGCCATGGTGATGTGAGGTAGTAACATTCCAACATTACCATAAATAGTGAAACTTTCCTTGACCAAATAGTCCCTCTATTCTCATGATGCATGTATTGGCTAGATATTACTTTCCACGTGATTGGCATCAAATGTTTCTGAGTGGTGAGTGATTTATATAGATCCAGTCTTCTCCAGGCCCATCTCGCCTCTCCTCCAACAGCAAGCGTCTTGTGCTCAGTTACAAGGACTTACTGTGACTGTGTAGTTGTGAAAATCTTGGTGAATTCGGCTACCGTGACCAGAGGGCAAGTCTGTCTGTTGCCTTCCTGCTCGCTGGGGATCGGCTGTGGGATCCACGTGAACAGCCTACTCAGAGAGGAGCCTCTCTTGGTTAGGGCGAGTTTATTGTCCACTTTTGCTCTTTTGGAGAAGGCAGACGGCCCCACCCGGAGTGCAGACTCGTCTGCATCAGAAGGGCTTCACGGATAGCAGCCTGACCTCTCTTCACCTCCTCCAGCCTACATCCGATGTCACACTGCATGTGAGGCATTCTGTACGTGCTTGTGCCCTCTGCCTGTACCTGTGCATCTTTTAAAGCTCAGTGCAGTGTCACTTCGACAAGGATTTCTTGCCTGATCCCTGGGGTTAGGACAGGCCGTTGTGTTTTATATTCTCCAGAAAATGAAGCTTACTGGCACTGCTGTGGTTGATCGGTTCTGCTTCTTCACATTAACAACTGCTCTGCTTCTCTGGTGCCAGGTGCACAGTTTGGTCTATATTTTCATCCTGCCACAGAGTTTGTCTCCCAAAATGCAGCCCTCACTTCCCTGGGCACAGCAGTGTGTTGCCTGTCTGACCTGGGTTGTAGGGACACAGAGCTGGTCCTAGGGGACTTCTTCGGCCATGCCATCTGTTCATGATGGATGGGGTGTAGCCTGCAAAGTTAAATGCCAGAAAAAGAGAAATATGAGTAGTTAAATCAGGGTGGCCTGCGACTTAGCATGAATTCTTTCCAGACTGAGTTGCTACAGGAAATGAACTTTCATCACCTAAAGGTAAATGACCTGTATCCTAGGTAAGCCCTGGTCATGATCTTGATACACAGCTTGCTACTCTCAGTTGTCTAAGTAGTATTCTTATTTTATCACACACAGCTGGTGATTATTGATGTGTTTCTTCTTCTTTTTGGTGGCATGAACCAATCAGGTTCCTCCCCCAGACACCAGTAGTTAACAGGGAACAGCTGAGACTCTACGGAAGGTGGAGCTGGGCATGGAGCAGGGAGAGTGGTGTCTACTTTGGGTCTGGCTCATATGGGTTTTTGTGGACAATCTATAAGGAAAACGCAGAAATCCGAAGCCCTGATCCTGACCATATACTCTCATTGCCTCCGAACTTCCCTGCTGAGCAAAGCCAAGTGCTGGGATGTGGGGATGAGACACAGATGCATGATGGTAGGGGCTCTTGTGAAACCCTGAACTCCAGGTCATCTGTACTTTTCCAGGCATGAGTCCCTATGAAAATTCAAACATGAATAGGAAAATGGTTAGCAAATTTATACTGATTTATTGCAAGGCTTCATGCGAATGGAGGGTAAGGTAGACACAAGAGGGACAGTAATGTAAGAATCAGGCCAGCATGGTCAGCATGGTCAGGGAGATGTTACAGTGCTGATGGTGAGATTTCTGTCTCTTTTGTGCTGTTCTCATTTGCGTCAGTATGAAGTGAATGTAGTAAATTTCTCACCTGTACTACAGTTGTCCTGTTTATTTTCTGGCAAACTCCTTGATGGTACTTACGTTAGAAATAAGTGCTGTTGTGTGAAGGAAAGTATAATTAGGTGCTAGAAGAGAATGGGACAATTCAAAAATTGTTTTTGTACAAACTTGAAATATGGAAAAATCCTTGTCAGTTTTACCAACTGCCTAAAGCATGTTTTCACTTAAGTGAGAGCCCTTTGGGTGCCCGGTGAGGTCGAGGGACCCTGAGATCCACGAATGCTGTGTGCAGGGAGCAGAGAGCCTTGGGTCACGGTGAGGGTCCTGGGAGTAGCAGTCACTCCTGTATTAATGTGTCCATGGCTGCACCCCAACACATGTGGGAACCGAGGTTCAGAGGCTGCGCGATTTGTCCCATTACGCAATTAGTAAAAATAAGACCAGAATTTGAATCAAGATATTTGTTTTAAATCTTATATACTTTTTTATGCAGGTTATCTCGTACACATCCTTCATGATTTCTTTTAAAAATATGTTGAAAACCAAGGTTTTTCAGTGTATTTCCCTTACTGTCTGAATTTAGAAATACTTTTTCTGGCAGGTGTCTATACTGCAGGTCTTCTGGCCTGTAGTGCACCATTGTGTCTGGGTGAATGGACCAGCCCCTGTGGGCCTTATTCTTAGGTTAATAGGAGGATTATTGTGATTTCTATTATCTAGTTTACCATAGCGTTAATGAAATATCTGCATTTATTTAATAATCTGAAATTGGTGGGTTGTTTAGGTGCCAGAACTATATTGTTAGGATTTTCTTTGGGGAACCTTTCTTTTTTTATTGAAGTAAAGTTGATTTACAATATTATGTTAGTTTGGGGGAACCTTTCTTAAACATGTGTTAGAAGTAATTGGAGTTCTAATAAAAATGGCTTATTTCTCTGCTTTCTCTCCCTTGGGCTTAAACAAAGTTTTTACATATGGATGGGAAAAAAAGCATTTGGAGGAGTGAATACCGATAGGACAGGGCAAAAACTTGGGAAGAGTGTTTCTGTGTGACAGGAACCTGGAGGCACGAGTGGGAGGTGGCTGGCGAGGAGGGTGTGGTGGAGGGAGGTTGGCAGTCAGGGAAGGAGCTTAGGGCTCGGTTCTGTGGTCCACAGGGTGTAGAGACATGAACCAGTCAGAGCCCTGCTTGGATTGAAGAGAGAGACTGACATTCCGGGCTCTAGTGGCCCTGGTGGCAGAGAGGGTGTTGGGAGCTGCAGGTGGCGTGTGACTGTGAAGGCGCCCGGGCAGGGCTGGGCGCTAAGCCTGGTGACCTTTCTAACCTTGAGGATAAAGTGTAGGGTGGGGAAGAGAGGAGTCCCAGGGGATGGAGGTGTTTGAGGGAGTGGAGAGGTGGGGTGCCATGTGCAGAAGTGTGAGGGCCCAGGAAGGCGCACGCTCAGCAGCGGGACGAGGTGTGTTTTGCTCTCTCCTGTGCTGTCCTTTTGTTTCCTCTTTTCCTCTTATGCACCTCTGGTCTTCTTCCTCTGATGAGGAGTTTTATTTACAGTCCCGTGGCAATTCTAGAGGAAACAAAAGCTCTCTGAGATTGTAGTATATGAATTGATGAGTTGCAGCACTCTGCACGAGCCTTGAAAATTTCACTTACTGGTTCAGCAGTGCTTCCTGAGACCCTCCTGTGAGCCAGGGGCAGCACTTGGCCAGAGGCAGACAGCGAGTCAGTCATTGCCTTCTCTGGGCTCTTAACCTGCCCCTGTCCCAAGCAAGGATCGATGTGTGCACACCTTCATGTCACACAACCTCAGCAGTTTTCACCTGCTCTGAGTTTGTTCCTGGGCAGCAGTCTGGAATTGTAGCAGTTTCCATCTCTCTTTATAAGAATGCTCTTGAACAGTAGTTTTGTGGTGAGATCACAAAAATACCTCTCCATGGATTCAAAGTACCAGCTGGACTTGGTCCATGTAACCAGTGATCATTGCACCTGGAGTGCAGCACTGAACAGCACGTAGCCTCCGCTTCAAGGGCCTGGCCTCTGCTTGGGCTCTGAGTGACAGCAGGTGCCCAGGAGCACCAGGAAAGGATGCCCATCACAAATGGAAGGGCACTAGTGAGAGTGGCACAGACTGCTTGAGTTCAAGACCCAGTTCTGGGCCTGCATTTTCTCTCAGTGAAATGGCAGAAACTTATGTCATATGCCTATGTTAATAAATTAGTAAATATAAAGTGCTTGCACTGCTGTAAAGCGTTGGCTGTTCCTATCAGTCCTGCCTAAAGATGGGAAACTGAGGCTCAGGGTCAGATCGTGATGGCAGCAGATGGGGCTCCAGCTCCAGAGCATGGCGGTGTCCCCAGTGCATTTCCTCTCAATTTGTGTGGGATCTGAAGCTAGTGGTGCTTAATAGATGTTTGTCGGAGAAGAGATCCAGTCTTGATCTCTGTCTCATTTTTGCCTGAGGAGAATTTTTTTATCCCCCTTGCGTTGCGTGTTTCTGGACAGTTACCCCACCCACCTTCCTTGGGATGCCTCACCTTGTGTCGTAGACACACTGGTCATCTTGTGGCTTTCCTTTGAGCTAGTTTTCAATCGTGCCTGAATGTGAGACCTCAGCAGTGCTGAGTACTGTGTTGTAATTATGTGTTTTACTAATTATTCGTGATTAGCCTTACCAGGAGGGAGCCCATCCCAGCAGCAGCATGTGGTCAGCTCCTCTTACTGTGGGTCATGGGCCATGGGTTATACTACCCCGGCTTCTCTTGTGGTACCAGGTCATTCTAATTTGGAGTTGCATATGTGACTGAGGTACCTTTAAGCTACCTCAAATTTCATTTACAGTGAGGTCAGATAAAAACTAATGATTGAAATATGCACACTTATATTTTAGTCTCTTTTAATGTCCTGTTGCTGGTGACCTGTTGAAGCTATTCTCCTTTTGTCTAATTTATTCATTTCTTTTTAAAACTTGGGTTGTAAGCTCTATTTTTCAGCCTATGAGAGTAAATGTTCACAGTGCTTGTATGCAGACTTAGCTTTCTGAAGACAGATGTGTAGGGACTGCAACAGGTGAGAACTAACCTACAACTCTGTATAGCTGGTCTGTAAGTGCTATGACTACACTTCCCAGAGGAAGTATATGACAACCTAGGGACCTGGAAGGGGTCAAGGTTGAAATTAATTCCAAAAAGCGTATTTGAAAGAACTAGATGGGTAACTACTGAGATTGAAAGCTAGATGTGTGTGTGTGTGTATCAGGCACTGTTTAACCTCAGCAGCTCAAAGGTGTACATTTAGCTCTGCTTCTTCCCAGAGCTGCACTACGATGTCAGTAAATGGATAAAGTATAAATCCCCAGGACAAGAGAATGGGAGAAATAGTGATGTGTTTTTAAGCTATATAAGGTAGATAATTAGAGTCTCCTTATTTAGCCAAGGGGAGGAAGGCAGCAGATGAAGGTGCTGATGAAACTACGGCGGGGGGTGGGGGTAGGCATGGCATCTAGGGAACAGGCGATCCACATCCTCCCTATTCCCCCAGAGATGTTTGCTCTCTGGAGAAAGGGAACTAAGAGCCTCTGGAGTTGGGGACACCTGGCAGTACTGCACCCAGAGGCCCTGAATCAGAGCGCATGTGCTGGAGAGTGAGAATAGCTCCAGCTAAACACTGTGAACACTGTGTTTAGTCACAGTACAGGAGACTGGACGTCTCTTCTTTGGGTAAACGGAACAGCCCAGGTAAAAGACCTACTGGAAGTAGATCTGGTGACGCCCCTGCCATAGGAAGAAACGCTTGCTTGCATCTCCTTCAGTGGGATTAAAGGAAAAGTTATAAAAGTTGACACAGGAGAAAAGAAAAAAATAAACAGATTTTACATAAAGATTATAGTATCAGAATGACATTTAATAATTTAACTTCTTGACAATAATTGACAGGAAAGGCAATGAATATAATTTTCAAATAAATATATTTATACAAATAAATTTAAAATTTTTAAATTTACAAATAATTTTGTTTAGAATTCTAAGGTTCAATATGAACGTAAATACCAGGTAACTACTGTTTTCATTATGAGACTTAATAGTAGTCTTTGATTTCATAAATTCTGTGCATCTGTTTGACAAAAATACAAAGTAATTTTTTAAAAGATTTGAGACAATAGCTGGAGGAGACTTGGAGCTGTGAACAGTTCAGTGACAAGGACTGTTAATTAGCAGTGTTAATACGCTTGCTAGATGAAAAACCATGGAACCTAACCCAGGCCTGCAGTGCAGGTGTCTTTTGTGCAGTTCTAACATAGCAAACGTAATATGTAGGGCCCACAAACATTCCATTAAAAAGTGAGGTTCAGAAATCACCAGCATAGGAGGGATATTAAATCTCAGGGACGAATAGCTAACTCTCATGGAGCCATCACAGAAAACCAGGGACCAGACAGTTTTTTGCTAAAATTGCTCTTTCTGGTTTACTTTCTCCTGAGCATTACTAACCCTTTTCTGAAGAAGCAACCATTAATCTTTAATACTCAGGGCTCAGAATTACTTTATTTCTGAACTGTAGTGATTACATCTTTCCCGTAGTACCTAGTTTTATCTAAATTGTGCCTCTGACTACTCTAGTTCTGAATAGGTATCAAGATTGTTAGAGTTAGGTCAGCTTTTGGCCAGTATCATTGAATCATTTTTATCTGACCATGTAAACAGTTTTGGTAATTCTTCAAAGCCATATTGAAATACAACTTGTTCAGTTGTTTAGCATCAAATGGAGTCAGATTGCAGAGAGTTTGAAATTTTGAATGAACAAAGATGAAAGTTTATGCTCCATCCTGGTTACCTGGATTATATTATTAAAATATCCTGTAAGACTTATTTGCAGTTGCTTTTAATTTAATGATAAATGTAATTTAAAGAATTATTGCTTGTAGCTTACTCTGCATCACGGCACATGACATAACAGGCATTTGTGACGTGAAGGAGCCTGGACCGGTGTTTCTGAAGGCTGTAGTGTCGGGGCCCTGAGTCGTGCCCTACCCCGGATACTTCTTGCTTTCCTGTTCATTGTCCAGGATGTCCCAGCCCTCCATGCCCACTCCCCTGTGTGCTTCAGCTTGGCTGTGGGAAAGCAGAGAGTCAGAGATTTATTCTACCAAATGATTTGTTTTGCAAAATAAGTTAACTCCAGCTGCCAGTAAACCTCTCCTTACTTTGCTGTTTTCCTCATTAACCCAGGAGTGGATCAAGCGTTGCCTCCAGAGCGCCGGGCTCCAGTTACTCCTTCCTCCGCCTCTCGCTATCACCGCCGAAGGTCCTCAGGGTCACGAGATGAGCGCTATCGGTCGGGTAAGGCACCAGGTGTGGGGTCTGTAATGTGGGTGATGGTGAAATGAACGAGTGGGCACATGTCTGCAGAAGCTGTGTGAGTATGAGGCAGTGAGTTTGGATGTCCCTGTGGTTGGTCATGTGGCCCACAGATGCCATCTTATCTCAGACACAAATATACCCTCTAGGGTACACATTAAAATTCAGTAAATAATAACTCTTTTTATATTTTTAAGATAGTTTCCATTATTTAGAATTTCACAAGAACTTAAAAAGTAACCTCTCATAAGCCAAATTTTGCTTATTTCTTTTAGGTGTTACTGTTGAAAAGTTTGGTTTTACTTTTCATAATCTTGGTTGCTAGTATGTTTTCCTTCTCTTTTAACCTCAGTGATTTCTGTTTTCAAGTACAATTTTCAAAAAAGTAATAAGATTCTTAATAAGTTATATGTTCTGCGTTTATTATTTCCTTTGTGTTTTATGATGTTGTGTATAAGAATGCTATCTTCATAGTTCCGTTTTATTGCAGTCATCACCTGGGCTTGACTGGCTTAAATTTCTTTCATTAATTGAGCATCAGGAAACTTGTATTGTGATTAATGTTTTACTTTTTGAAAAAAGTTTTTTCCCCCCAACATCTGGATTAAAGTTGCTTTTACCTGCTTCCCTAATTTTTTAAAAGAAAATTATCAGTAAGGGTTGTTGCTGGGACACCAGTTCAGGGTACATGTGGATTGCTCATGATGACAACCCAAATTATAACATTTATATATCACTTTATATTTTGCAAAGTACTTGCAAAGGCATTATCTCACTTGGTTTTTATAACAGAAAGGTGAAGTACTTATGACTGTTTCATGTTGCAGAAGAGGAAGCTGAGACTGCAAGAGGAGAAGTAGCTCAGCCAGTTCATACCAAGGTGGGTGGGTCAACCCTGTGAGCCTCTCAGCGTTGTGAATTTTTCCATTAATGGGGGCTTGCAAGATAAACCACCACCCTTCCCGCTAAGGAGCTGTGTGCCTGCCTGCCTGGCCCTGCTCTCCTTTCTGGAAGGGAAGAAGGGGTAAGACAGATTTTATGGCATCAGAAATCTTCATCTGCGGAAGCAAGAAGAATGGTCTTGAGAAACTAGGAAGAAGCCCAGTGCAGCTTCACTGCTGCTCCTGCCTTCTTGGCCCCCTCAGGCCTGGTGCCTGGGACAGTATGTGGGGGTGGAGTGAGGGCAGGAGTTTGTTCCCAAATACACCTTCTTTTTTTTCACAGGTATTTTAACTCCTAGCACATACCAAGAGCACACTGTACTCATTCGGGCATCTCAAAGGCCCCTTTCAAATAATTAGGAGGGTAGCACACACATATGTGCTGTCGACTTGCTGTGGAATGTTTCCATTTTTTCCTTTGTCTTGAGTGTGTTGCTCATTTTATATATCATACATAGACACACACAGGTAGATACACATACATAGTAACACATACAGGAGACATACAGGTAGATAGCCACATGTAGACATACACATAGATATATAGGTAGACATGCACTTAGACACACAGGTAGACACATGTTTACTATCATCCATATCTTTAGTTCTCAGAGAAACTGGTCAAGTTCTTATTTCCATTTTATAGAGGAGAAAATTGAAGTTCAGTGATTGTTAATGATAACTAACTCACCAAATTAGGGTGCAAATCTAGCTTTGTCTGACCCTGTAATCTGACTTCTTACCAGATAGAAGATTATATCTCCTGTCCATTTCTAACCTGTATTTTTTGTGTTAATTTTTTAAGTTTAGATGGAAATTAAATCATAGTACAATCTATGTCCTACATTATATGTCTTTCCTAACGATGAGGGTGGAGGATGATATACCGTAAAAACTTTATATGGCCTTTGATAAGGTATATTGTCTTGTTCAAATCCTCCTAGTTATTTTGGGAAATCAGTAGGACAGGTGGCGGTGGTGTCACTGTTTTTCTTTTCAAGTAAAAGTCTGAGAGAGGTGAACACAGTACAATAGGAGGTGGTGATCTCTGGGCCTCAGGTGCGTCTCCGCTCACCTGTGCACACTACCACCCCTCTTTGTGGGCGGAGGGGAAGACTCGATGGAGGGGTGGTGCTGAGGAGAAGAATGGAGGGCGACGTCAGGGGATTGATTGTCACCAGTCCATAGGGACATGGCCAGCACAGCCCTCTGCAGAGGAAACCAGACCCCATCCTGTCCAGCCCCTACCTCAGGCCCTACTTTAAATCACTTAGTTCTCGTGAGCATCATCGTGAGGCAGGGGAAGCTCCGGTTTGCGTTAGTCCTTCCCAATTAGAACTCCAGACTCGGAACTCTCCCCACTTTGGAGGAAGCTGCAGAGAATTCCAGCAGCTCCTGTCCCTGCAACTTCGTTTCCTGTGGGCGTCTCTCCAGGCACCCTCGTCCCACTTCGTCTGCTTCTTTCTGGTTCCCTTCACTCGGTTGCCCTCAGAGGCTGTCCTCAACATAACGGCGCCCTGAATTCTAAACGCACGTTAGCTGGCGACACTCCTCTGCTCAAGAATTCCAGCAGCTCCTGTTGCTCTCAGAGTAAGAGTCGTGTGGCAACAGTGACCCACCATGTGCATGGTCTGGCCTCCTGTCACTCCACACTCTCGTCTTGCACGTCGCCCTCCTCTGCAGCCACACTGGTTCCCTGAGTGTTCCCTGTTTTTGTGAGGCATTCTCTGACCACCCAATTAAAATGGTAAAGCACCATGCCATCTCATACACAGTCCCTTCCCTTTCCAGCCTGATTTGTTTGCATCCACTGCATCTGTTACCCCTGGCATGCTCTCAGTCATCTGTCTGTCCATCTACCCATCTGTCAATCATCTCACTATCTATCTGTATCAGTAATCTATCATCTGCCTACCTACCTGCCAATATCAATCATCTGTCTATCTAGTTAGCTGTCTGTTGATCATCTGTCTACCAAGTTGTCTATCAGTCAACCATCTATTAGCTATCTATCGTCTACCAATAATCTATCTGTATACACCATCTATTTATCTACCTACAATCTGTCATCCGTCTACCCACATCTCTCTCCATCTGTCAGTCAGCTCTCTACCTACCATAAGAATGTAAGGTCCACCAGGGCAAGGATCTTTGCTTTGTTCATTTGTGTATGCCAGGCACCTAAAATAGTGCCTAGTTAATGGTTTTTGAAGAAAAGGGTGATGAAGGGAGCAGAGCACATTTGGGAAAAGCAAGAAATTAGGTAGGAGGGGCCAGATTTTAAGGTATTTTGTATATGTGCTCAAGCATTTGGACTTTATCCTGAAGGTGCTAGGGTACCATTTGAAGATTTTAGGCAAAGTCACGTTTGGAGTAGTTGTGGGGTTTGAAGAGTACTTTGGTGGCATTGTGGAGATATGGATTAGAAGTGGAGTATTTGGAAAGACCCTGAATACCTGAGATATTTGTTTAGATCAGTCAGTGCCAGTGAGACTTGAGATGTCTTTAGAAGATAGTAGCTTGAGGACGTGAAGGCTGAGTTAAGGCAGGAGTGTGTGAGAGAGGGGATTGGGGGTGACCCCAAGATGTCTGGGTTGTACAGTTGTATAGATGATGGTCTCTGGGTCTGCCTTTAGAGAATTAAGTTTTTCATTCGTAGGTTAAAGATGGTGGAATTCGCCTCAGCTATTCACTTACTAAGTAGAGAATACATGAAAAATTGTGTAGACATTCCTTGAAGTGTCAGGTAAGATGTGAAAAATAGGCCGTATATACTGTTTTATTTTTTTTTAGTTTACACTCCTTTCAATTTTGAATAAATAATGACTGCTTAATTTACATAAGGAGCAAACATACCCAGAGGATCTTTCCATATGCTTTTGAAAGCTCAGTTGGGTTCTCGTTTTCTATAACTGTCATGGAGCACCACCCCTTGTATAGGATGTCATCCGCCCTAGAGGAAAGCTAAGGACGGCCTTTGGGTCATTCCCAGGGCTCATTTGGTAGTCTCATTCACTACGTTGTTATCTGCTATTTCCTGTTTTTAAATACTCTAGTCAGTTTTCTTAATTTAGACATTTCATTGATGTACTTCTTGGAGTTCATGCTCATATATTTTTTAAACTGTGGTTATGAAATCTTAAAAGCTTGTTTTGGTCTGTTACCAGTGTCCATGTTTCAGGATTTTCTGGTTTATTTTCTCCTGAGCCAGCACAGAAGATTTAAGACATTTAAGAGAAAAAGTTTTGTGACTTTAAGGAGATTTTGCTTTCTAAAATTCTTTGACCACTTAATTTGCAGTGGAGTTACTTTGGTTGCTTCAGTGACCAAATATATCAGCCAAGAAGTAATTCTATTATCTTTTAGACAATTGACCTAATTAACAGTCGATCTAGTCAACCATATAGTCACAGATTTAATCTCTCTTGGCTATACCTTTTCATTTCATTTCTAAACCCATGGCCTTACATGGTAATGAACTCCTACTAGAATTCTTTAGAATAGTGTGCACCTCTCTTCTTTTTAAATAATTTTCTTTGGGAACTAAAATTTGATTTGGAAAGTGAATGAATAGGCATTTACTGAATACCTAGAAAATGTCAAACTCTATATTGGGCACTTTATTACTTTCGCTTGATAAAGTCTAACTTGAGCTTTAAAAGATTCTAGCTGTTTTTTTAAACACCTTTTTCCCTCAACCAAAAACCGTGGAAAAGAAAACCTTGAGACTTGAGTTGTTTGTATTCCAACCAAGACTGATTATGACAAGGAAGAATATATTAAAACTAAAATATAACATATGATTTCCTAATATGTTTTAAATGATTGTTTTGTCTATTTATGGGCTTAGGAACAGTTTGAAAAAAACTACATCTCATAATTTGTGTGCAGACATGGACAAGAGCAGCTGCCTTCTCAGTGCTGAGGTGTCATGATCCACCCTGTGCTCATTCCTGGTGGAATGTCACGGAGCCCTGTCTTCCTCTAGGACGAGGAGCTAAAACAGAATCCAGGGACCCGTGGGGGATTCAAGACCCTTTC